GAGTTTTTTTTAATTTAACGAGAAATTTCACATTGATCCGTTGCTCGTGTTTTTCGTCACACATTGTTATCGGCACGAGAAAAAAACAAGTTCGTTTCTAACCTCTATAGAAAAAGTACTACTACTGCGACAAAAACATGTTTTCGTACTGGAATAATAGACACTTCCAGCTATCCAACACTGCATTCGTTTCCCATCCTACCACTCTAGGACGCCTTCTGCGCGCGCAGTCTCGTTATTTAATAGCCAGACCTCGTATAGTGTTCTGTAAGAAATTAAATATTCTAGATTTAGTTTTGTGTATTCAAATAAGTTCGTTTATGTTAATACAATGTTGTATTTTTTTGCTTCACATTAAATTATTTGTTTATCTTATTATATATTTTTAAAAATATTTTTTTCTATGCTTTTCATTTAATAAACGTATATATTTGCATATTTTTACCAGTGTTGTTAGCGTTACATAAAAAATTAAGTAACGAAGTTACTGATTTCGTTACTTTTTTTTAGTAATAAATGAGTAACGAAATTACTTTTCTTACAGAAAAGCAGTGGCCAATTAGAACTCGCGCTGATAGTAAATAGTACAAAAAGCCGAAATTGTCGATACTACCTAACAGATGTACATATTTTGAACAATAATTATCTATTATTAAACAAAAATTCAAGATTCAGTGATACAATTATAATTTAAAATTAAGATACTATATACTCGTATGTGCTAATGCAAATTGAAATATGTATCATAATAAAGAACTAATAAAGAACTAATAAAATATATAAATCAAAAAAAGATATAAATTAAAAAACGATTTGTTTTTATGTAGTTATAATTTACATAAATGCAATTATTTTTTTTAAATAACGAAAAAAGTAACGATTTTTCCGTTATTTTAAATAACATTAACAACTTTTTAGAATCGGTAACAAGTAACGAGTAACGAATTAGAGTAAATCCGGCCCCATCGAGTCATAAGCTCCATCTTCCTTATTTTGTGTGTAATGCCTCCGGCACACCAGCGTGATGTTCGTCACGCGCGACACGCGATATCCAATGATGGTGCGGCTACAATAGAAGAAATAAGGAATAAGGAATCCAATCTATCAGAAACCATGTATTCTAGTGTATCCAATATCTGATAGGTTGAAAATCTTATTTCTTATTCCTAATTCCTTATTCCTTCTATTATGGCTGCACCTTGAGTGTACAGTTTTACCGATATTCTCATTTTAAAGGTATATTATCAATGGATATCGCGTGTCGAACGCGACTAACATCGCGCTGGTATGCCGGAGTCATTATCCGGTCGTTTGCAGCGCCACTCTGTTCAGAGAGGATATAAACTCACTTCTTAGTAGAGGAAGGAATACTTTCAACGCTGTGACATGCACCCACAAATATGAACTACAATAAGTGGTAGGGGAATTGGCGACACATTTAAATCGCAACGCGCGCGCACGTTCGTACAATTCTTTTTAAAGAATAATATTTATTATTAATTATATATACATATACATATATTATTTCAATTTCATTGAAATATGTTTTACTATATTATTACACATAGATAAATATAATTTGCTCATAAAATTTTATACATATAATATTCTTCTCACATGCAACAATTACGCTACAAAGTTGCGCGCTCTCTCTCTCTCTCTCTCTCTCTCTCTCTCTCTCTCTCTCACTCACTCTTTCTCTCTCTCCCTCTTAACTATCTAAAATTTAAAGGCATATTTTCTTTCTATGAAGATAGACAATCAAATAGAAAAAAAGAACCTATCTATTATATTTCATTAAACCAAGCTACTCACATTCATACACACTTTACAGTACTAATACATATATTAATTTATTCGCTGTTTTTTTCTTACAGATTCTATACATTTTGTTTGGCGTTTTTAAGTAATAGTATTATTTTTATTATTGTACGCATATCTGCCTAATTTCTAATATATCATTGAGAGCATCGCTTTGTGAAGTATCGGTAACGCTATTATTTAATAATCTATTTTTTTTATCACACCACTATGCAATAATTTTCACTGTAATTATACGTACTACAATTTTTAAAATATCATTATAATGTTCAGTACATTTATGCTAATCTATATTAAACGTCCACATTTCAACAAAATTTAACAAAATTTTCAAAATGTTTCGCTGATGACTTCTCGTTCTTAATAATTTATTAATTAAACATACAATTTGTATCATACAATTGGAAATTCGCTACTTTTAAAGAGATTATCGTATTCGTTAAAAATTAACTTCTTTCAAAATTAATCATATGATCTCTTCCTGGTTATCTAATGATGAATAATAGAATCATCGGATACATTTATATCTGAAATTAGCTCTGACTCTCCGTTACTAAAAGCATGTATGTTTAGCTTCTAAATATTTTTCTAACGTTGATAATATATCACTATCAGATACTTCACAATCACTATGTTTTAGAGAAATAGTTTTTATGTTATTAACGAGTAATGTTAGAAACGATTCTTCAAACTGCTTATAGGTGTTCGGATTAATATATTGCGTACAGCGTTTCTCATTTGTCCGAAAAAATTTTCCAACGGATTTTAATTGCAATAACGCGTGTTTAATTTATTAAAATTATATTGATCGTGAATTACTTTTTACAGTTTTTCAAAACTATTAACTGTAAATAACCAGTTTGTTAGAGATGGTACTGATTTAATAATTACGCGTGAAACTTTTTCTACATAAGCTATATTATATAATTTTATTATTGTTCGCACTCACCTAGAACGCGTGATGTTCACTGTTTTTTATTACTGGGCATCGCAGTTCATTATTATGTCATTTCTGTCGTCTCCATTCACCGAATCAAAGAGATTATTGAAGAAATCAACGACTTACTAATTTTTCTTCTTCTTGGATATTAACATCTTCATTATTTATAGATACAGTTACTGCAACACACGCAGACACAGACATACATATAAATATTTT